CAAGTAACACCATCAGTTTAAATTAGGACAAACATTATTAAATGTATTATTTAAGTATGTGCTTACATTCATAGCTGGTTGCGAGTGTACTCTTGTTCTTCCTGCCCCTCCTCCTCCTGTTCCAAGATGATGTGGATCAAATTCTTTAGCAACTTCATGTAGTTCCTCCATGTTATGTCTTCGCCTACAAGTACACATGTAACCACACCCTCAGTCACACCCACTTACTGTTCTGGTGGAGTGGAGAAAGGTGTTAGTGATAATCTCTTGTTATCATCATCATCAATAGTGACTATAATAATAATAATAATAATAATAATAATAATAATAATAATAATAATAATAATAATAATAATAATAATAATATGTAATGATGTCAACTGTAAAAGTTTGAGCTGATTCTAACTTCAATTATTTGAGTTATGGCCATTTTAAGAAAACGCCAAAATTCTGAAAAATATCCAATGCTATAGACCATGGATTTTTCCAAAAATAGCCAAAAAAATCATTCCCAATTTTTATTACATTTTCTGATACATATTGATGTACTTAAAGTTTGAGCCGATTCCGACTTTAATTTTTCGAGTTACGGCCATTTTAAGAAAACGCCAAAATTCTGAAAAATACCCTGTACTATAGCCCATGAATTTTTCCAAAAAATGGCTCCAAAATTACCCCCAAATTTTACTATATTTTCTGATACATATTGATGTCCTTATGCTGTGTAGAAAGTTTGAGCCAATTCCAACTTCAATTTTTTGAGTTATGGCCATTTTAAGAAAACACCAAAATTCTGAAAAAATCCCTGTACTATAGCCCGTGGTTTTTTCTAAAAAATGGCTCCCAAATGACCCCCAAATTTTATTACATTTTCTGATACACATTGATGTACTAATGCTGTGTAGAAAGTTTGAGCTGATTCCGACTCAAATTTTTCAAGTTACGGCCATTTTTAAAAATTGGCCAAAATCTGAAAAAATCCCTGTACTATAGCCCATGGTTTTTTCCAAAAAATGGCTAAAAAATCACCCTCAATTTTTATTCTATTTTCTGATACATATTGATGTCCTTATGCTCTGTAAAAAGTTTAAACTGATTCCGACTTAAATTTTTAAAGTTACACCCATTTTTAAAAATTAGCCAATTTCTAAAAAAAATCCCTGCATATGCCTAATAATACCTTATATAGCTTATGCTTATTTTCTAACTTACATGTTTTGCTTTGAGTGTGTGGTACATCCTCTTCTCCAACGAATCTCTCATTTCCTTCATCTTCAATCGACTCATTCTCTAATAGTTTCAACTCCTCTTCACTAACGTTAAATATCTAACAACAACAAATAAATAAATTTATTAATAAAATGAAGTAAGTGGTCTTACATCATGAACATGTGCAGCCATTATTTCTACAACTTTTGCTTGATAGCTCATGTTGGCTAGTGATTTAAGTGAAGGCATCATCTCTCTATAAAAGAAAGAAAGGGAGAGTATATGTGCATGTACATGTACAAGTACATATGTACATGTATTACAGTGTAGCCTCTATATAATGGACACTTTGGTACAGTAAGCTGCTCTGTTATACAAAAATCACCACCCTTTTTTATTACAATTCTCTAATGCATATTGATGTCCTTATCCTATGTAAAATATTTAAGCTGATTCTGACTAAAACTTTTTGAATTTTGAGTTATGACCATTTTAAGATAATGCGACTTTCCATGCTTTGTTTCATGCTAGTACCTTGGCAAGATAGAGGAACATAATGGTCTACAATCAATACAATGTATATACTATACATAACTAATAATATAATTATATTCCCTATTCTTACCATATACACTAAATCCAATAGCTCCTAATGTATTAAAACTATCAAAAGGATATAAATTATCATCATCATCATTAATTTGGGTTTTCCTCATCATTGATCCTCTTAGTTTCAACAACTCTGTTCATGCAAGTAGGCCTGGTACTTGATTCCTTTATTAAACATAGTCTTCAAGGAGCTCCTGGATTTAGTAACAGCTTCATCTAGATGATCCACCTCATCACAATCCCCACTACAATCCTCCAGCCATGATATCCAGCCACTCCCACAATCAGTTAATTAATGCACTTCCATTGCGTGGGTGTTCATGATGTTTTAAAGTTTCAGTTACATACAAACACTCTAATCAATGATTATAAAGTGATCCTGTCATACATCATTAGTAGTGAATGACATGCTTCCTTTACTGTCTCCTCTTCCTCCTCTCTAATAGCTCTATCCACTACCAATGACACTCCTAACTACTTATACAGATACACCACATTCCAGTACATTAGAGTCTCTCTGATATCCTCATTACTCCTTCTCTCTAATCAATGAGTGAGGCAGAGCAGTACTGCTGTATGACCACGTTTTTGCACGTGGTCACTAATAAAACTGAGTAGAGGGTGTGGTCTATGTGATAATTAATTTGTTGGAATGTTAGGTGTGGCTCGTTGTTTGGAAGAAGAGGATGTCTGGACAAAGTTAGTTTATCTCTCCCTACCATCTTCCCTCCTCCTCTGTCTTCATGCTCTCTCTTTCTATTTATTCTTCTGTAGTCATTGTCTTCATTTCTATCATTATTCATTTACTACAGGTTTCAAAATGAGAGCTGAACACAAAGCTCCTATAATAGGGGAGTCCCTCTACCTGTGGGCAGGGAACCAATTTGACTTACCTAGAGTTCATGACTCCCTTCAAAAGAGGGAACTGACCTCAAGAGTTGATGTGTACCAGCTTTCTACTGCTGACTGGTTGTCTCACCTAACAAGAGGTACTCCTCCATTAGGAGTAATGGACTACTCCTGTACCACCTCTCATTCTAATATTTACTATTTCGGTGGAGATTGTGGTCATGATGACTGTTACAACAATACGTTGAATGTACTGAATACGATAAAGATGGAGTGGACTTCATGCAGTAATGCTAAACAGTCGTTGATGAAGAAATCTCTTGCTGGAATGATATCACTTGAATTTGATGGAGCAGAATACCTTGTCATAATAGGAGGGCTTGGTTCTACACCAACTGTTTACCATCCTCAGTTTCAATATGATCAACTAAATGATGGTTATGTTCGTACTAATGAACAGTTACTTTATAATGTGTCCACTGGTAAGATTCTCTTCATATTAATAAATACATGTACATGTACATGTAGCTTTATACATGTATGTACATGTAATTGGTATAATACACAATTGTTATTTTGATAAAAATTACATGTACATCTAATCATGGTATGCATGATATTGTTAACATGTACTAATAGATGATCACTGTATTCTCTTCACTTTAGGACAATTCACTGTTCCATCTGTTAGTGGACAGTGTTGTCCACCAACTGATGGTTTTATAATTGAGAAGATTACTACTACCGGTAACAGAGGAATAATGTTTGGGGGTATGGTGACTGTTAATGGTGATGAGACTACATTTACTAACAGTGTTTACATATTGAGTGTGACACATAGTATAATAGTAAGTATAGTATTATATTTTGTTGTATTGTATTGTACAGTAATGCATTATCTCAGTATTATCACTAGAGGATATATTGTGTTGTACTCATATTAACTGTATTTTGTGTATTATTATATTAAATATTCACAAAACTCTGATACTACATAAAATATTTTCATAATTAGACAGTGTATAGTCATGCTTAGTATGGTATTTCATATTATCAAGTATATTGTGTACCAATAGATTTGTTATACCTCCAGTACTTGTACATGTATAATACTAAACACAACCACTAACCTCACTTCATTAACATCAAAGTATTAAATATTAGGATTAATTTTTATATGTCACACCCATTATTTGTATAGCCACACCCATTATTCATATTTACGCTGACTGATATTATTAGTAATTTGTTTATGTATCTAGAACTGGGAGATACTGAAACCAGGAGCAATACCTAATGAGGGACCTTGGCTTATGGAGAGATTTTCTCATGCTAGTGCTATTATCAATGGTGACTCTACCTCACCTACACTAGTAGTGATTGGTGGACTGGATAAGAATACTCAACTAGTTAATGAATGTTTGTTATTTGATAGTATGACTACTGGTCAGTACAGTTGTAGGAAGGTATGTGTGTGTATAGTACTGTATTGATGTGTGTGTGTGTATAGTTAGGTCATGCAGTTGAGAGTATGACACTAGTACTGATGTATATTGATGATAGATTAGTAATTGTTAGTGTGTTGAGTAGATAACACTATCACTGATGAAACATTAACAATACATTAGGACCACCCACACATTTGATTAAAAATTATGCATTACGTTATTTTGTGAACCAACCTTAATCTGTGTGTGTGTACTATTAACACATTTCCTATTCTCAATTGTTGAAAGTTAAGTTTGTACATGTATTTTGTTACTCTTCACATGATGTGAAATAAAATGTTTATTTTGTTTGTTGATGGTGAGGATTAGAATTGATTTTACAATTACAATAAATGTAACGATCATCTACATATGAAATGATACAATTTCTCATTTTTATAAGTAACTGTATATACATCATGTATTAGTAATTACTTGTATACTTCTCTTTATCTACAGATTCCTCTACCTGAATCTGTTACTGGTAGATACAGTCACTCACTCACAGCAGTCACAATGTCACCACACTGTGTGTGGCTAGTAATTGTTGGAGGATATGAAAGATTTAGAATGAAAGATGTTGGAGGAGGAAAAAAGGAGCCAATCAGTACATTAATCGGTGATACTAATAGACTAATTATGATAATTGAATTAGGTAAGATAATATTAATCAATTGTAAGGATATGAGCATTAAATACATAATTACATTAAATAATGTACCACTCATTTTTATAGTATGTACATTATTTTTAAATTTCAGTTCCTAATATGACGTACATTTTCCATTCATTTTGTATACTGTACACACTACAATACCACTGTATGTGTGGGTGTGTATTTACAACCACTATAAACAATACCATTAGTTTATAAATTAAATACATTTATTTATAAATATATAATGTATCTTATTGTGTCTCAGTATATAGTGAAGCTGGTGAGTGGATAGTACAGTCAGTACTGGATGGTAATGATCTCACTAGTAAGAACTATCAAGAAAAGTATGAATTGTACAGCAAGACCAGAACATGGTGGATGGATCAGCTAATAGAATATCCAACAGAGAGGGAAATGAAGCTTCAGAGATATATACAATCTTTACATGAAGACCTACAAGTGGCTCATGAGAGCAAAGTATCACTACAGGAGGCACTGGTTGAGGCCAATAAACAAGGTATATAGGATACTACACACACACACACTTTAATTGTACTAACTGATTACTATTATGTACTATTGTGTGGCTATTAGTAGTGTGAGTCTATATATTAGCACTGGTTTACATTATGATACTAGTGGATTAGACAATATTGAGTATGGAAATAGTATCCTGTACTCAATATAGGTCAAATTGTGGATGCATTACAAATAATAAGATTCATGTTGAGTGAGCTCTGCTTACCCCATATATGGTATGATTAGCAATAATCATAGTACATGTATTTATGGGCTACTGTACATGTAGTGGAAATTTGTATAAGCTAGAAATAATATTGAATATGATTATCTAAAGGCCCCTATACACCAGGCAATTCTATTGCAGGCAATGTGTGGCTACTTTGATGTTGTAAGCAATGTGTTGCCTAGAATAGAACATGTTTCTATTCTAGGCAACAGTGTTGCCTGAAGATCAAAGTAACCACAGATTGCCTGCAATAGCATTGCCTGGTGTATAGGGGCCTTAATGGTTTATACATTGGTTGAACCAGTCTTTGGTGTGTATATATTATCTGTATATTCTGTTGTGTTATTATGCATATACTGATTACTCTCTTCTTTTATATTATTATTCAGTTAAAGGTGATGATAGTAATGATATTATGAGCAGTGTATTAGAAGAGATGAGACAAGAACAGGAAAAGTTGATTGAAGAGAAACAGATTATTACTGGTTAGCATATCATCAGTACATAATATTAGATGAGAGAATATTCTATTAATGTATAGAGGATCATGAGAAACTGAAACTCAAAGTTGCTGATAATGAAGTATTTATAACTGAAATATTGGAAGAGAAGACACAAGTAGAGGAGAAGAAACAGATTATTACTGGTCAGTATATAATCAATACATACATTGTAGATGAGAGAATATTCTGTTATTGTAGAAAGTTACGAGAAACTGAAAGTCACGGTTGCTGATATGGAGGAGGAGAAGGAACAATATCTCAAGGAGAAGCAGATCATTATTGGTTAGTTAACTATGCACACAGCATATATTAGATGAGAGAATATGTTTATTGTATAGATGACAATCAAAATCTCAAAAGTGACATTTCAGAGAAAGACAAAGTTATAGCCAAACTGACATCACAAGTAGAGGAACAATCACAGAATGAGAAACAGATCATTACTGGTAGTGTATCATCATCAATCAATAACAATTATTCTATTAATTTATAGACCTTAGAGCTAAAGTGTCTGATAAGGACTTGCACATAGCCAAACTAGTGAAGGAAAGACAAGAGAGGGTCCTCAAGCAACCTATCAAAGAGACTAGTTC